GTCGTACACAACCTCGCAACTATAACCCTTTGAATGTGAAGCCATGTTTGTCGTATTGAAGGTTACCAAGTTCGACAAATTGCACGGACTTCGTAAAATTTTCGTCGAGAATGCCGTTTAGAGCAAAATAAAGTCCGATTCTTTCCCTTTTAATTAAAAAAATAAATAAATACGGCTGCGATTTTTTTTCGCGATGTTAAATTACTTTAAAGTATTACCATGCGTTTTGGCAAGAAATCAGAGTTCGCAATGTTAAATATGACAAACATCGCCTCGCATTTAAAGAGTTATAGTGACGGGACTGCATCAAACGTAATAAAATCGAGAACCGTTAGCATAAAGTAGAGGTTTCAAGTTTTCATTTAACCCGGGAAAGATAACCTACGTCGCAGAGGCGCCTGCGAAGACTGTTGATTTTTGTTAATTTTTCATAGAGGTCTAGTGATTTAAGTTTAAAATTACTTAAAATATAAAAAAATATAATATAAATGCATTTTATTTTTACAATAATGCCAAACCTTTAAAATGACTAGATTAACTTAAATAAATATCCATTGTTAGTATAAAATTGACGCCTTAGAAAAGCATGCGCCTCTGAAGCGTATGGTTATCTTTTACGTACGTTGTCATATGGTTATCTTTCTAGGGTTAAATAAAAACTCATCGTCCTACGATGCTTTTCCGCGGAGTTATCGACTGTCAAATGCGGCCAATTTTTATCAAAAATTGTTCCACGCTATAACTTTGTCGAGCAGTGTTTTTTCATCGCAACGATCGATGTAACAGATTAGATGTATTTTAACAGATCAGCATGCAAACTGCTCAACAAATAATTCCGTCACCCACGTGTAGGTGACGCGGCAGTTAGAGTATTAATTTATCCACTAAAACGTTCTTAAACAATATCCCATCCCGCTTGTAATTTTTTTAGTCGCAAGTAGCTCGATCGTTTTTTTATTTATTTTATATCCGTGATTGCAGATGAACGATGAAGCTCGGTAAAAAATATGCTACNCTGTTGATTTTTGTTAATTTTTCATAGAGGTCTAGTGATTTAAGTTTAAAATTACTTAAAATATAAAAAAATATAATATAAATGCATTTTATTTTTACAATAATGCCAAACCTTTAAAATGACTAGATTAACTTAAATAAATATCCATTGTTAGTATAAAATTGACGCCTTAGAAAAGCATGCGCCTCTGAAGCGTATGGTTATCTTTTACGTACGTTGTCATATGGTTATCTTTCTAGGGTTAAATAAAAACTCATCGTCCTACGATGCTTTTCCGCGGAGTTATCGACTGTCAAATGCGGCCAATTTTTATCAAAAATTGTTCCACGCTATAACTTTGTCGAGCAGTGTTTTTTCATCGCAACGATCGATGTAACAGATTAGATGTATTTTAACAGATCAGCATGCAAACTGCTCAACAAATAATTCCGTCACCCACGTGTAGGTGACGCGGCAGTTAGAGTATTAATTTATCCACTAAAACGTTCTTAAACAATATCCCATCCCGCTTGTAATTTTTTTAGTCGCAAGTAGCTCGATCGTTTTTTTATTTATTTTATATCCGTGATTGCAGATGAACGATGAAGCTCGGTAAAAAATATGCTACGCGTATTTTTCCAACCGCCATTCGTATATGAGACATTGGATAGCAAACAATATTTGGCCATTCATTCTAGAAACAATAAATCGTAGAAAAATGTTGTGTACTCTGTGTGTGTAGATTGTGGCTGTTCGTGTTAATGCTATAGGTACCGAGCACCGAGAATGATTGGTATACGTGTCCCCATAGAAACAATAGACGAATAGAACGAATGGTCCAGAATCATTCTGACATGCGACGGTAGTTTTGGTGTTAATGCAATAGAAATATTTTAGTTGGAAGGGGTCGAGCTTCGAAGCTGCGTATCATTTTATCGATCAGTTTTGAAAATACACTAAATTCGCGTATAATAACATCGTGACACGGTACTTGCAATTCTCACGTGCTGTTGATGTTGCTTGGTGTTACGGTGCAGCGTCGCTGTCAGTAAACATCCCAACAGCGACACGTTATTTCACTTCTGCAAAAAGTCAAGCTATTCGATCATGAACTTTGACGAACAATGTATCGTGCGGTTTTCACGATGCAGATTCAACGATATGATAGGACGAGGCATACGTATACAGAACTTTATCGAACCAGCTAATTTCCATTTTGTGCAATAACTATTCGCCAGCTCTTGGGCAAATGTAAAGTTCTCCTTTCGCTTAAAGCTTCCTCGCGTTTATTCGAGTCTCTTAGTCGACAAGTGGAGTAAACCCTGTTTATTAGCGTTCTGAAAATTGGACATTCCTTGTAATACTTTGTAAAAAATTCAGAACACATTGTAGCTGCGTTGTAATAAAATAGAGCAAAAGAACAGCAATTGTAATAACATCATTTAACACTTTGTCTGCCTCACCAATAATCTCAAGAATATTATAAAATTAGAGTAATATGTTTAAACAAATTGAGATTGGAATGTTAAGTTGTATGTCATTAACATAAAATGTTAATAGAAATAATATTAAAAATATAGCTGTTTTATTTACCATTATAATTTGTGTATATTTCTATTCATTTCTATTAATATTATATTAATATATAATTGTATATATTTCTATTAATTATATTCCTACGATTAATTTATTTTCTATGATTTTGGACTCGGGCCACTTGTCAACAAAGAGGCTCACTTGCAAAACAGTTGTCAAGATAATTTCACAGGGACGTACGAAACCGCAGAATTTCCCGAATGACCCAACAATTTGTTCTCAACAATTATTATTTTATCTGGTAACAGTAATATAGTCCGATTTTGCTGGATTCACCCCACTGTTTAACCCCTTAACTATCGCAATTTTTAATGCCGGAGTCGTTTCCGACATTCCACTGTGATAGAATGACATTCGAACGCAGCTTAATGCAACAACAAACTTTTAATAACATATAAAATACAATCTTATCGGCACGTTTGACATCTTACATTGCGGATCTTCGCGCAAAATAAATATTGTCTGCATCTGTTGCAAAAAACAGTAGCAACTTAAAATTTGCATTCTTTCCATAATAATCGCAGTAGGTCGAAAATAATATATTGACGTTATTTAATGTTTCTAACCTCCTTGCCGTTTGACATTAACCCGAGAAAGATAACCTGCGTCGCAGAGGTGCCTGCGAAGACTGTTGATTTTTGTTAATTTTTCATAGAGGTCTAGTGATTTAAGTTTAAAATTACTTAAAATATAAAAAAATATAATATAAATGCATTTTATTTTTACAATAATGCCAAACCTTTAAAATGACTAGATTAACTTAAATAAATATCCATTGTTAGTATAAAATTGACGCCTTAGAAAAGCATGCGCCTCTGAAGCGTATGGTTATCTTTTACGTACGTTGTCATATGGTTATCTTTCTAGGGTTAAACACTTCGCGTTATGTCGCGGCGTCGATACTGTTCGTACAAGGTCGCAGACGAAATATCTCGCGACGTATTGCCGCTTGTGCGGTGCCACGGACGTGTTATCCCGCGACGCAATGCCGTTAGTGCGGTGCCACGGATGTGTTATACCGCGACGCAATACCGTTCGTGCGGTGCCGTGGACGAGTAAACACGCGTTTCTGTGACGTCACGCAGTACCGTTCGTGCGGTGCCGCAGACTAGTAGATACGCGTGCTTCGCTATTAGATTCAAAGCTTTAATTCGGAAAAGATTGGTTCCGTTGCACACAACATAGAAGCAAGCTAAATGGCCGCAGGCGGAGCAAAAACAGAAGCGCGTGTTTACACTCGTTTGGGGTACCGAACAAACGGTACTGCGTCGCGGGATAACACGTCCGTGACGTCACACAAGCGGCATTACGTCGCGAGATATCTCGTCTGCGACCTTATACGTACAGTATTGGTGTCGCGACATAACACGTCCATGAGAACGAAGCGGTTAAGAAAAGTCATTTTTGTCGTAAATTCCTAAAATCCGCAGTTTAATAATACTGAATGGAACGAAAGATAACACAGCTATGAAAATACAACGGACATTGATCACGTGTTGCATTGTCTAATGATGGTGTCATCGTTATACAGGAGGTCATTTGGAGTAACTTTTTCCTTAGCAAAAATTTAATCCGCGGCCTTGTTTACGAGTTATTAATAAAGAAAGCAGTGACCAATGAGAGGCGAGCTTGGCTGGCACGCGGCGGCCGGGCCAATGAGCGGAACTGGGCTCCGCGCGCTCGTTGGCTCGGCCGTCTCGCGCCAGGCGAGCTCGCCTCTTATTGGTCCGTGTTTTTCGTTAATAACTCGTAAACGAAGCCGCGGACTGCGTTTTCGCAAAGGAAAAAGTTACTTCAAATGACCTCAAGAATCATCTCATAGCGGGTATTAACATAATTATGGGAAACCTTATATCAACATTTCAATCTCTTATACCCTTCAATCTTAGTACGACTATCAGTGTTATCATACGAGTTTCTATAATCATATAATTAAAACTTGATTCGTCTTATATCATAACTAGACACGACGGATTTTATGCATTTGCGACAAAAACTAGCAGATCATTCTCGAAACGGTAAAACCACTTGGAACCATTTGCAACTCATTGAAATCATGAAGAAAAACAAAACGAATGTTTCTCTAGCTCCCGCATCTTGCAATCGACGCAGACAATTTTCATTTCGCACGGAAATCGGCAATCTAATTACAACTTAATCCGTTGCAAATCGAACATCATTTTATCGCGCCGATGCACATGCAACTTTTCAAAGTGGTTCAAAGTCCCGAATGGACGACGATGCACGAGCGACCCGGCACAGCGTAGCTAGACCGGGGAACTCGAAACCGTGAATTTTGGGACCGTTTCAAGTCCCGTTCTAGAATGCACTGTGACGTAGATGTCGTTTAGGAGACGCGTAAGGGAGATTGGACGTTGTATTGAGAGACGAAATGACGTGTGTGTTCCAGCAGCATCCGAACGCGACGAACAGTAGCGAGACGAGCGTGGGCGGCGTTTCGGGTGCATGCGGAAGCAGCGGGATACCGGTGGGCGCAGAGGTCGGGTGCAGCAGCAGAGGTGGCAGCAGCAGTGGTGCCGGTGGCACGGGAGGACAGGGCTGCGATCAGGGAGCCCACGGTGGCCCCTCGTCTCACTCCAGGGAGAGCCACGCCAAGTTCAGGCACGGCCTGCTACAGCTTATGATCCACACGATCGATCCGCTCCACGACGGTCAGTCCCGCGCCGGTATACCAACTCCACACTCTATCACTCTCGCTTGCCGCTTTGCCTTAGCGCTAACAGCACGCTCTTAGATGTCCTAGCGACGTTAACCTGCTAACCGGCTAATCCTGTTATCGCCGCCGAAATTAGGCGAACCCGCGGATCGTCGGTCTCCTTCGGGAACGCGTTCGCTACCAGGACCACGATTCAACGACTCGCGCGAACACCGTCGAATCCGCTTCTTGCACGCTGCCCGATTCGATGGGTCGGAATCACAGTGAATCATTTTGTTTCGTATCTGAACCAGTTAGCTGTGTTTCACGAGTATACTCGTCATGGAGAAATGGCAATATTTTGTGACACGACGAGTATACTCGTCGCGCGTAAGAAGCAGCGACCATTGGCTATTTAAATTGTAATTTTAAGGGAAACAAAAATATATTCTCAAATTTCAAGATGTTTCGAATATTTTGAGGCCGATCCTGCACGAAGTTGTTTACATTGTTATAAAAATAAAATTAGAAAAGAATCACGGTATTGGTGTTCGACGTGCAAAGTGCCATTATATATTGTTCCTTGCGTATTTATACCACTCTCTCTACAGCAGCAATTTGAATTTTTAACTTTTATAAGTATTCGATTATCCCTGAGTTTTTCGTTTATCATGTATATGGTATATGTTAACGTCAAGTGAATAAGTAAATATTAGTAATAAAATTGTTAATTTTACCAAATGAAACCGTCTTTTTGACCCAATATTTCTACAGCGACAGTTACATTGTGTTCGACGAGTATACTCGTCGTCGCTTGATCCTCGCGACACATCTAGGTGCGCGCTCTGAAACGGAGGCGCCACAGCTAACTGGTTAATCTGTACGTGGCAAAATGTTCAAAAGACAAGTGAAATCAATTACGGTAATGTCTCTCTAATTGACACTTGGATTGTTCACAAAAATGGACAATTTTGG